TGAGTGATAATATACTACGAAGTAAGCTAACTACAAGTAATCCTCACACATAAGAAAAAGATGTAAACAGTGAAGAAAATTTTCTTTTTGACAATTCATTTTCATAAGCTGTACAGTCATGATTATATTTAATAAAGAATTCATAAGACCAATGAGTTACTGATTAAATTTGCTCTCGAAAATGTATGCTGTAATCCAAGGTGAAATCTCACGCACCCCACTCGACACTGTTCTTAACTTAGGCTCTTGAAGAGTTTCATAACCTTAGACGCTTAGCAATCGAGCGAAGTGAGAACACTATAGAATAGAACATTGTTGGCTTCTCATCAATAATTGGCATCTATGCCCGATTAAAACCTTTAATTCTGGTGACTCTAGGGTCAACAATTAGTTTACGAACCAGCAAGGACACTGCAGTGTTCTCGGAATTTAGTGTAACGCTTAGGATGAGGAAAAAGAGAGATATGTGATAACTTTGGGCCCTGAAAATCTTGGGACTATAGTAGATAAATTCTACAATGTAGACGCTAACTAACGTATTCGAAAATGCTGCCGGAAAATACTGGTCGCCATAGCTGCCATCACCACGGTCCCACCTCATGCTAGTTGGTTTTCCGACTGGGTTAACTAATACAGAAGAAACTGGTAACAGTATTACTTGAATTTATGCAGGAAACTCAGAGTGAAATTTGAAAAACTTCGAATGTTTATATATATGTGTGTATAAATAGAAACACTGTCTAAAGGCAGTTGATGATGTCAGGCAATAAAATCAGTTGGTTATCAGTTGTTTCAACCATTCATAGTAGCTAACGTGGATTAAATTTTGACTGGTCTATTTTTAGGAATACTTGTTCCACTGATTAAAAAGTTTGTCCTAGAAGAAATAAGATCCGAATTTCTCCTCTTTTACGACATTTTTTGGTGTATCGGGAAGAATTTGTCTCGGGTAGCCCTGGCGCTACATGAGAGAGAAGCGATTAGATTCAATGTGACAAATAGGCATCTGTAAGCGCATCATGTTTCACTGGAAGTCTTTCGAGAGATTACGCAGGTCAGCAGAGTAAGACTTTGTTACATGTAACCCTGAGTCAAAATCTAATGTAAACTTCCTTCAATATCCTATATGCTGCTCTTTCCTCAAGGTGTACGAATTGAAAAATGCTCTCGGTAACTAGGCTAGCGCGTTTCCATCCTTGTGTTCCTCAACAGAGTTATTTCTCACCACTTATGTTATTAGCATTTTATTTCTTGGGAAGAAACAAATCATCTCTGCAAGAATGAATGCATGTAAATTACGAATGCCTTATGGGAATTATTATGTGAATTTTTAGTACAGGATTAAAGTGAAGGCTTGTTTAAACTACCGAAGTATTGAAAAGGGTGCGAATAATATGATGGATTAGTGATAAAATTATGTATAATGATCCTGAAGAAAACAGCCGGTTAGCAGAACATAACTAGCTCTGTTTGATATAACCATGCCGTATATTTTGTTGCCGGGGTTTACACTTATTTTGACATGCGAAGAGCACTGGTAGTAGAAAAATATCATGCAAATCAGCTACACTCATTTTCGCGAGTGCAGCTTGATTACTTGTAGGTAATCGTGGCATCAAATAATACTACAAGAACCAGTGGGAAGAAAATCCATCATTGATCTAAGGAACCAAAATATTAAAAAAATTCACTGAGTAAACGATTGATGAAACTGTCTTATTACCGCATAATTAAGAATTTTTAAAATTTTTATGCGTCAGACTGACAATTGCTCATCGGTCTCTATGCCGGGTTTTAATTATTTTTATGTCTGTTACGTTCCATGTGGGCTTTATAGGGAAAAACAAAACTGTTTAGTCAGGGTGTGACCATTTAATAATAAAAGACCTTATTCCTAGTTGAGACCGGCTAACTAATGAACTCAAAAACCCTAAGGCAACGCGACCAGCTTTTTAGAGAACCATTAAATCCACCTTTTCATAACCATATATAAATTATGTCCAAAAAAGTCATCAACAACGATGAAAATGTTGCAGAGTATGATTAGTTACGATCACTGATTCTTGTTGCTGCTCTGAGTACTGGAGAAATCACTGCTAAGACCACTTTACACTCAGCACACCACATGAGTTATTGACTTTGTAAACTTTTAGCATATGTCGTTCGACAGCAAAAAGCATTGTTTCAAATTTACTATATACTATGAAAAGCAAAGCCAAGAGTATATGTGCACTAAAAATTCGCTGAGACAACACGCGCAGCTGAAAATGTGACGCATTAGTTCCCAAACAGTACTGTAGAGTAAGGATTTCCTAAATTAATCAGCCTGCTATCGCACTCAGGATATAAAACCGTTTCATTCTATGCCATCGCGCACTAGAGTGTTAAAATGTGTCCGCTTTCCTCATGAAACCAAAGGAAAAGATTTCGAAACAGCGAGAATTACACTTGAGAATTTCAAGCAACCTTGTTATAAATTCAGTCCTAAGGCGTAATAAGAATTAAAACTTTAGAAATAAAGTTCATCACATCCTGCAATACGACTTGGTTTATCAACATCCTTATTAGCAGCAACTTGTGAGTCTTAACATCATTTTCATAAATCCGAAAAACTCCAGGCTGTAGTATCCTAAGTAGATACGTCTGATGGAAGATTTATCCTACTAATGCAGAGTTTCGTGAAAAAACTGTTTTATGTGATTTATGCGTAGTAATATCCGGCTCAAAAATGATCCTCGAACACCTATTGCTTTCAAAGGTGTTAGTATAGCCAGAATGTTCCATGTTTCAGGAGAATCCTGGTGAATGCTAGTGGCCGTCGCAAAGACATTTGTCGATAAATTAGAAACCAGACTTAAGTAGAATGCGAATTATCGGCTACTCTGGTTTCTGTCAGTGTCCATGAACTAGATTGTCTATTGGGAGTTTGTTTAGGAAGTAAGTGAGAATATCACACTGACACAATAATACTCATACACTAACTACTTACACATTATGTAAACCAAGTTAAGAAAAACCCTTTATCGTCCGGATCGCCATATGCTCTTTGAAACACAATATCCTAGGCCTGTGCTTCTAACTACGGAGATAGTGCACGAATAATAGAACGTAAAACGACAGCACGTCAGACAGCGCCAGTGCATCGCTACATGCCTTCTGACTAATTGCTTGACCTAAACGGTGAGGACAACTTGTTAAGGATTGTTCTGGCTCAAATGGTCTTAAACTAAATCCAACTAAATGTAATACTGTTGATTTCAGCTTGAGAAGTGAAAAAGATATGCATGGATTGATCCACTCTCATGATTGTTGTAATATTGATGGTACCATGATAGAGAGTAAGTCATGTGTTTCTTATCTTGGCATTAGTTTCTCTTCAAACCTTTGCTGGTCGTCTCATATTCTTATAGTTTCTAAGAAAGTTTTCCGCCTGACTTATTACATAAAGAAGTTGAGGCACTCAGTTATAACCCAATCTCTTCTCATACAACTTATTAATTCATTTTTTATTGTTCTCCATTATTCTTCCCTGGGCTACTCAAGAAAGACCATATAATACTACGAAGAACATTGAAGGCTGTAAGTAGGGTCAGTGCTATCCCTTTGAGTCAACTAACTGACACTGTTGTCAATAGGCATATGAATTCTTGTAAACACTTAGCTAAAGTTATCTTGTCTGATAGTGAACATACTCTTTATTCACAATTGTTTCCTTGTATCTCTTCGGGTAAGAAATTTCATAAACATTTATGCTCGTACTACAAAATATAAAAATTCGACCGTACCATATTTGGCACGAGTATTGTGTGAAGAGACAAATATCAGGAAAGAACTTTTACAACTTTTAAATCATTAACTAAACTATAAAATGCAATGATGCATATTAATGCATGTGTTATTTGTTATATTATTTGTTTATCATTCACTATGACCTACCAAAGGTGTGATATTGTTGGGGTTTTTATTTTTCCTATTAACTATCAATATTTTAACATTTTATACATTTATATAATTATAAACAGAGCTAAATCATTGCAATATGTAAAAGAAACGCTGAAAATTCCATGCTGTAAATTGTTATTGTTGTGGAATAAAGTGATTATTATTATTATTGGGTTGAATGATAGTGATGGTGGAGGATGACAACTTCGAGGAGTTATGTGCCGTTATAGCATATGTGCTAGTCTTATTGCTTACACTTAGTGACAAAATTAAATCAAGGTGGGTATGTGTTTCCACATTTGGCTAATATGCTCAAGGAAAATTTTCTGCATTAAGAGATTTATTATATCACGGGAAGTGCTCCATTTCTACTCATATATGTTGAACTTGCGTCTAATTTGTAAAAGGTCTGTGGTTTCTCATCCTTCATTGTAACCTAAAATATGGTGGTCCTTAGTCTCCTTCTCTGCAAAATTTTCAGTATTTGCATCCGTTAATAAGTCAAGCCTCTAGGTATCACCATTTTCCATACACTCCCGCTTTCCAAAGTTTAATCGGGTTTCGTACTTCTTGTATTTAAACTCATTTTGAAGATGTTACCTGAACTACACAGTATTCTCAGTCTTTCGTATCATTTTGTGCTTCCCTAATAATTTACATCACTTCCATGTTGACCAATCAGCGTCGGCGACTAAATTCAGAATCAGGGGCAATATTAACTTCAGTGCATGTAAACAAACGCTGGGTTAAATGGAGAGGAGATTCACATTAAAATTGGTTGCAGGTAAACTAATTTAGATGACTATGGGAAACCTAATGGTGGCTAGCCCTATAAATAATACCACTGGTTTTTTTTTACTGAGCGCAATACACCAAATCGTGTTGTCTACAAGGCACTGATATTAGTATTAATTCCTAAAGCTCAAAAATTATAATCGCCAAACAAAATGAAAGTAACATCTGAACAGCATCTTTTAAAAAACCGATTTCTTCAAATCAGAACTATAGGGAGAGAGATATGACAGGTTATTTCATAAGAGACATTGAAACATTTAATTGTCTTATAGCGCGCCAAAAGTTTGTTGGTAATGGATTCAGTTTCGTCTTCGATTTCCTTTTCGCTTTCTGTTGTTGTTGCGTTGGGTTTCTAAATGATTATGGGGGTACTTAGTTTCCCTTACAGATTCAAATTTATGGTAGTTTAGTTCATTATTTACTTTCGTCACTATTTGCTTTTGATACAACTAATTCGACGGTTTTGTGTTTTAGATTAATTTATCTGTATGGATGTTCGTGTCAGGCTTCGGCCTTGGCTGGAAAGTCGACTAAATGATGGGTGGTTTGAAGGCCTTAAATGGCTTGATAAAGAAAAGGGGGTATTCCGAATACCTTGGAAACATCACAGCAAGCACACATGGACTGAAGCCGACGCTGCCATTTTCAAGGTACATTTCTCTTTAGTTATCCTTATTCTTAGGATTGGGCTGTTGTTACTGGAAGGTTTCGTGAGGGTATCGATATTCCTGACTGGCCAATGTGGAAGACTCGACTACGTTGTGCTCTAAACAAAGCACCAGATATACAAGAAGTTAAGCAGCGGCATAACTTGCATTGTGAGAAGCCCTTCAAAGTGTATAGATTTGTCAGTAAGACAGAGTCACTTTGGCGAGCAAACGCAATGAGAAACGCTAGTTTGATATTCGATGGCATACCACCAATTTACGCATTGACTTCAAATATACCGAATACGAATACTTCTCGTGTTAATCCCACTTTCTCCCATTCAAGACGATCTACGTTAGCTGTCCAGAAATTGCCTGGAATAGGACATGGATCGCGTCAGTTTGCATTGGTAAGTGGATAATTTCTGATGTAAATACGTGGTACGAATTGCCTTATTTTATAGAGACTGACTACTGATCTGACTATTTTGCCTGAAATTAATTCAAACGGAACCATAATTCACTTGCTTGCTGTTACAGTTTTATGCATATATATATATATATATATGGTTGGGAAGGTTAAGGCTTAGCATAGTCTTTCTGTTAAAACGTAGAAAGCAATGTACAGTAATCGCCAACCAGGTGTTTTACCAGTCACTACCAGTGACTCACTTTCATGCAGCCAATTACACCTCTATTGTCGTGAATTCATAATTTACTCTCCATCTGGTTTCCTAATATTTTGTTAAAGGTCACTATCGTTTAACCTGTGTGCTATTACTTATGAATATATTGAGTGCTTTATATTTTTAACTTGGTTATTCACTTAGAAGGTCATCATTAGGATTGATTTCTGCCTAATGAATATGAAGTACCAATTCACTAAGTCAATAATTACATTTTATTCAATGGTGTAAGTTCACGATAAATGAACGTATTGACAGAGGATCATTAAATGACAATGCAGGTGATTTCGACGATACATTCATTCATTTACGTTAGTACTTTTAAGTTTGTGTCATCAGTCATTACTGTTTGATATCACTGGGATTTCAAGGAATCAGCTTGTATCCATCTGCCTCACATTGGTCGATGGTTCCCACCTTAACTCGTTGGTGTGACTTCGATATGCCATAAACTTGATGTTTTCTGGTTGCGGAAACAATACCACCTAGAGAAGGCCGAATCTATAGCTTCAAAACTTAAGGCAAAGATAAGATGTATTATACTCTTGATTGAAAAGTAATTAGAACACCAGTAGTGCATGCTTCAACATGGAGGTTACTTAAGTTGACATATACTGCTCTGGTTTTTTTTTTGTGAACGATTACAAGTTGAAATATCACCACTAAAGTGTTCCCGAAAATCCAGTTAAAGTTGACACCGAAAAAGTACACAGAAACAAAGAAAATGTAATGGAACTACAGGAGACGGAAATGAAAAAGGCAAAGTACATCTAGGTAAAAATCAGTGAGGACTAGCGGGATCCGGAGTAAAATCGTCTGCTCTATAGTAGAGAATTCCTAGCATATGACAGTCCGCACCTCTCTATTCAGCTCTAAGTGGCAACCAAGGTCTTCATGGATTGTTGACATTTTTCCCGTTTGACTATGCCTAACTTTCTCCTGCCTAGTCCTATTCTAATCGAGAAAATTGTTAGTGTGTGTACGGCGTATTGGTCATCTCAATCGATGGAGTTTATCAACATCTTCGGTTGACTTCCCATGCTTACCTAGAACTGTGCGTAACCGCATTATTACTGATCATATTGCACCACCTAACAGGATGGACTGAATGCAAATGCCTAGTTAGATAAGCTTATTTATTGATTCGAAAGCTTTAGCCCTGCATTCCAACGGTGCAGAGTGCGTAGCAAACATTGTTTGCCAGCTAATTAATTACAATTCAGTTGGCGTATATCTCATCGTATAACACGATGTCTGCTGCATACTCAGGTTCAAACGGAGCTGAGTAGCATCTACATCACACAATATCGCTGTTTACAGAAAGTTGTTCATAAAAATGAAGAGGTTTGGCGAAACTGGGCAATCCTGCTTGGTGTGATTCGGAAATGGCGATAAGTAGTATATCTTCAATTCACTCATATTTTTGATATAAGAATAAAACTTGTACACTGTGGTAGAGTATAATTCCATTATGGGTAAAATTTGTTTTGATAAAGTCTCAGTGTTATACAGTAATGTTTACTGATGACGTTTCGAGTACAATTTATTGCTCATAATCATATCAAGGTACTCACACAACTTTCTAACTTCGTCTATATAATTCCATAATTTTTCATCGCTTGACTTGATTGGTAGTAGTATTCTCCATATTTCCAGTACGAGTGATGAGTCATTCCTATTGCATGTGTTGGGTGTAGACTCGATGAACGAAGATTCAGTAATCAACGCATTCTAATAGATATTTAGACTTTAATTCGTCTCATGTGTTAACTGTTAAGGCAGGCTTAGTTAAGTGTCTAACAAACCGAGCAGTAGCACTAAGTAGCACAAGAAAAGACCTAAATGATGAAATAAAACAGATAGAAGAAGCGTTGGTATCAAATAACTATCCTATAAAATTCAGTAGGAAGATCAGTAAAGACCAAAAGCAAAATAAAGATAATTGTGAAACTAGTAATGATAACATAAATGAGAGAATATAAGTCGTCCACTGTTATACCATATAAGGAGGGGACATCTGAGACCCTATGTAGGATTCTGAATAAAGCAGGAATTAGAGTGGCATTTAAGCCTACAAACTCACTCAGGGACAAGCTCTGTAGGTTAAAGGACCCTGTCGACTGACCCAATTAGACAAAATAATATAATTTACAAAATACCCTGCGATGACTGTGAGTTGCGTCAACTACATAGGTCAAACTAGTAGGTCAGGGGTAGTGAGATTGTCGAAATATAAGAATTTAGCTAAGGCAAGAATGGTTGACCGCGAGAAGATAAGTAATTTAGAAAAAAGCTCAGCAATCGCACTGCATGAATTAACACACAACCACACTAGGATGGTAGAGGGTTACAATTCTAGAAAGTAATCTAGGTAGGTGAAGAGAGAGGTTGATTACTGAATCTTCGTTCATCGAGTCTACACCCAACACATGCAATAGGAATGGCTCATCACTCGTACCGGAAATATGGAGAATACTACTACCAATCAAGTCAAGCGATGAAAAATTATGGAATTATATAGACGAAGTTAGAAAGTTGTGTGAGTACCTTGATATGATTATGAGCAATAAATTGTACTCGAAACGTCATCAGTAAACATTACTGTATAACACTGAGACTTTATCAAAACAAACTTTAGCCATAATAGAATCACTTGTATTTTTAGTATATGGATTCCCAGATATTAAAAGTACGTCTCCGTTCCAATCCATCTAACAAGCAGTTATGAAGAGTAGTCATGTCCGGTGAATCCAATGTAAAGTAAGATGATTATTGGTCTGCTGTATATGCAGTTGTTATAATAGCAACTGGTAAAAGGTGAAAAATTTAACAAGGGATATGAGTGAAACTTAGTGTATCCAAAAATCAGTGTTTTCTTTATCTTACAGAATCGGCTAAGGATGTGGCCCGGCGGTAATGAGACTGACATCTCAATGCAATTCCATTGTAATTTGTTTGTTGGATATATAATAGTATCGCCTGCTGGTTGATGTTCCGGACACGATTTACTGTCGACTATGATGTCAATTGTAATATGATTTTTTGTTCGACTAGCGACTATCAACTTTTACGACATAAATAGCTTATCCCTAAGCCTGTACACTTGTCCCCAACTACTATTGCAATATCACGTGTATTTAATTAAGATCATTCATTTAGTGGCAGTTCTCATCCTAATTTGTATTGGAGCCGTTTACTTCCTACTCCAGTCAAACTTTCTAGCTCAACAGGTAATACGTGACATAACTGAGATTCAGTCGACTAATGCGGCTTCCAATCTAGCTCATACTTCGACAGTGTATTTCTCACCAAATGCTAAATGCATACAGCAATGTGTTTATCGACCTCGTTTCAGTACGCATTTCTACTGTTCATCTAAATTTCACCATATGGGTAAGAAACAAGGAAAGTCAGGAAGTCTTGTCTTTTCATTAATTTTAATATAAAAGGTTCAGTTTATTGTGAATTAACAAAGGTAAATTTACTTAATTTCACTGACTGCATATGATACTAACCATTTGCAGTATGCAATTGACTTTTCCAAGGTTCATAACCAGTTTTAAGCAACAGTAATGGAGATTTACGTATGTGAAAATTAATATTCTGGATTTCAGATCACAACAGTTCAAGCACAGAACGAACCTGAAATCCAAATAGCATATCCTTATATCATTCAATATATTAGCTGTGTAATTTTCCAAAAAATGAGTCTGTAAAATTTAATCTCGCTTCTCAATTTAGAATGATATTTACTTCTGTAACGCACGTAATCAGCTAAACATGTTTGAGTTCTCCAAGGTCTTTATCAACTGGTGTTTTATTTTCATTATTTTCTAGGTTAGGGGGAACGATGGCGTCCTTATGAAGCAAATACAATCCAACCAATATGGTTCAGCTTATATACTACAAGGTCAGCAGCCCAACCCCTATCGAACTTACCGCAATTCTGTAAACATGGTTTCTAATCATAATTTGGGATGCGTTAGTGAAACTATGAATGTAGATAGTCGATTTAAAATGCATCCATTAAGCATTTCTGATTACCAAATGATCAACGGTAACACTGCATCTGACGACCTATCGCTCCCCACTTGTTTTGTCCCTGGAGTTGTTCCATTGGACCAGTCGCTTGTACTAATACCTGATATTTTGGAGCCCGAATATCACCAGTTAGCTATACGTATACAACATTTAAATGTACGCGTGAGAGATACTATTATTACTAATCCAAATGGTTGTTGTATATTCTATGGAAGATTTGACGAGGTAATTTCTATTTACTGTACTGATTTGATTTGACAGATCGCATCTCCTACTGCTCCTGAACCAGTTGAAACGCTGATTCCTCATCAGATTTCAGTAGCTAATAAGCATTATGTAGACCTCCTGCTAGAGAATATGGTCAAAGGAATCATCTTAACAGTTATTCAGGGCAGTATTTATGTCGAGAGGGTATGCAAATGTGCTGTCTTTGTGTATATACCAACGGTCAGTGGACAACACGTTTTATTAAAGAAACTTGGGCGTCGATTACGGGAGAAAGTATTTGACTATGACCAATTTGTATTTCAACTAGAGTCGTATCGTCAAAACAAGCAGCCACGACCTCATTTTGAAATTGTTCTTGCATTTGGTCAGCAGCTAAAGCCTGGTATATCTACTGACAGTCTATTGGTGTGGTCTCGCGTTGCCAGCTGTCGTGCATGGTTTCATTTATATCAAGTAAGTTTTAAATTCCCATTTCACGTATTTACCGTGTTGTGTACTACACTTTGTGAAGCTTTTGCTCATTGATATAAGCGCTTGACTTCCAGCCACTAAGTAAATGGTTTGCAAATCTTTATTACGTCATAAAAGCAAGAGGTATTCAACGGAGAGTTACTTTTTCAATGGTGTCATTCCCAAAATGTACAGTCCCACATATATAACACATTGTCTTAGCAACAAAAGGTATATCTTCTAAAGATGTTATTAAAATGTGGAGTTTAAGGTAACAAGCGAGAAATCCTGAGGAAAGACTAGAGCGAAATTAAGTAAATTGAGTGATGTAACATAAGTGTTAGAAATCAGCGCGGTTCAGTTAAAATTTGAATCCATCTCAAAGTCCGTTAGGTCTATTGAATCGTATGTGCAGAATAGTTTTCTCACATGTAAAAATGTTTCCCAATTTCCGCCATCATTTGGTTTTGGGATCCATTAGTTAGTCTTCTTAATCACTCTTTCCTTTAATTTCCCCTGGAATCCTTCTGTTGAGTTCATATTATTACCTTTCATGGTGTTCACGAAGTCAGTTGAGTGGTGGATGAATCCCAAAGATGACTATTTGCATCGAGATCATTCGTTGGCGGATCATTGTTGTCAGTAAGACCAGTCTGTAAGGTACCGGTGTCAGTGCCGTTGCATTCCTGTTGAAAATGGTCTCGAGGAATTCGTCATTTAGAGAATTATCATAAATTCCTAGTATCCAGAACTGATTTAACATGGAATGTATCTTCCATAATGTTACCTCTGTGCAACTCTAAAATCATTATACTGTGAAGACAAGTCTGTTTTGTACTTCAGAGGTTGTAGACCTAACAGATCTCTGTATCACCCAGTTATTCATAAGAAATAAAATATTCGATAAAGATTTCTGTTGGTTTAAGAGTAGAATTCAGACGCTAGTGGAAAAGAGCCCAAAATTAGGTGAGTTTGTGGAGTATAACACAGTGATATCGTATTAACAACCGAATAACCCACTGTGATTGTGGGCAATTACTTGTGCTCAAAATACCATCCACTTCTTAATGCTGTATCACTGTGTTCTGTCAAATAAAAGTATATGGGCAGTTTTGATGTAAAAAAAGTAGTTACAGACGAATTAAATTACTACACATACTGTGCCGAACAGACCTTCTTCTGCACCTACTACGCGTATAGGCATATTCATCTATTGGGAGATTATTTTGTTTGGTTGCAATTGTCCCACTGTATACGCACGTTTTGATGCGTCCAGAGAAACCATTACTTACTAAAAATTTGAAAACTACACAGGGTACAAATTAACAGCATAATAGATATCATTCCGTATTAATTTCTTTATTAGATATATCACCCAGCGAAACAGCATTATTTACTGGATGACGTTTCGAACACAATTTATTTTTCATAATCATATCAATCACAATCACACAACTTCAAAACTTCCGTTTTATAGTTTTCTTTATTCTTTCCTATTTTACGTAGGGGTATAGAATTTTCCGGATGTCTGGGACATGTGTTGATGAATCATTCCTGTTACACGTGTTTGCAGTTGATTCGATAAATAAGGCTTCCGTTATCAATCTCTCACTCCACCCTGTTATATCATCTTATACCATCCTGTTGTATGGTTGTGCGTAATTGCATGTAGTGAGTGCTGCAGCTGAGCTATTCTCCACACTCCTCTTATTAGAGTCAACTAATCTAAATTTTGCTAGGTTTGTGTGCTCCGCTGGTCTGATTGACCCCGTTCTACTACTTTGACCTATGTATTTAGCCTGAGAATCATTCAAGCAGGATATTAGATAAACTAAATTGTTTTGTTTAATGGGATTTGAATGCCACTCTTATTCCCGCCAGAATTGTTAAGAATGCTCCTAAAGTTTTCCGGGGTTCCTTCTCTGTATCTAATTGAGTTTGTGGATTTGAATGCCACTTTTATTCCTGCCTTGTTAAGAATTCTGCGTAAGGTTTCCAAGGTTCCTTTGTATGGAATTACTACTGATGATTTAAATTCCTTATTGTTAGTGTTGTCATTATCTTGCGCATGTTCGACATGCATGTCGTCATTAATATTATTATTATCACTATAGTTACTATTGTTATTAATTTCATTTTTACATTTCCCTAAATACTTACTGACTAATTTATCAGGGTAATTATTAGATTCCAAAGCTTCTCTTATATGCCTCACTTCCTTTCTTAGATTTTCCTTGTTACTACTTGGTTTTTGTGCCCTATTACTTAAACATTTCACCAATCCTTTTTTTGCTGACATAGAGTAGGACGATCGCAAATCCAAACATTGGTTTGAGTGTGTGGATTTCCTGTAAACACTAGTGTTTAACTTCACATTTTCTTTCCTTTTTATGCTACAGTTTAACATTGAAAACTTTCCTCCCTGACTTTCCAATTCACAAATGGATTGAATTGCCTGCACCTTCGAGTTGATGTGTTCCAAAAATCTGTTTATGTTCTGTGTCCTAAATATGGTGAATGTGTCGTCTACATATTTCCATCATACTTTTTTTTTGAGGGGGGGGGGCTGAGCGTTTTACCACCTATCCATGAATACAGCTGTCACAATTGGGGATATTGGTGGACCCATGGCAACTCCCTCAGTTTGTATATTTTCCCTTGGGATTTGAATACTATGTCAGTAAAAATAGGACTGGTGAAATGTTTAAGTAATAGAGCAGAAAAACTAAGTAGTAACAAGGAAAATCTAAGAAAGGAAGTGAGGCATATAAGAGAAGCTTTGGAATCTAATAATTACCCTGATAAATTAGTCAGTAAGTATTTAGGGAAATGTAAAAATGAAATTAATAACAATAGTAACTATAGTGATAATAATAATATTAATGACGACATGCATGTCGAACATGCGCAAGATAATGACAACACTAACAATAAGGAATTTAAATCATCAGTAGTAATTCCATACAAAGGAACCTTGGAAACCTTACGCAGAATTCTTAACAAGGCAGGAATAAAAGTGGCATTCAAATCCACAAACTCAATTAGATACAGAGAAGGAACCCCGGAAAACTTTAGGAGCATTCTTAACAATTCTGGCGGGAATAAGAGTGGCATTCAAATCCCATTAAACAAAACAATTTAGTTTATCTAATATCCTGCTTGAATGATTCTCAGGCTAAATACATAGGTCAAAGTAGTAGAACGGGGTCAATCAGACCAGCGGAGCACACAAACCTAGCAAAATTTAGATTAGTTGACTCTAATAAGAGGAGTGTGGAGAATAGCTCAGCTGCAGCACTCACTACATGCAATTACGCACAACCATACAACAGGATGGTATAAGATGATATAACAGGGTGGAGTGAGAGATTGATAACGGAAGCCTTATTTATCGAATCAACTGCAAACACGTGTAACAGGAATGATTCATCAACACATGTCCCAGACATCCGGAAAATTCTATACCCCTACGTAAAATAGGAAAGAATAAAGAAAACTATAAAACGGAAGTTTTGAAGTTGTGTGATTGTGATTGATATGATTATGAAAAATAAATTGTGTTCGAAACGTCATCCAGTAAATAATGCTGTTTCGCTGGGTGATATATAATAAACAAATAAATAGAGAATCACCTACTACCACAGTGCCTCAGTTGTACACATATAAGCATAATAGATGAATGGTGTTGATATCATTATTTGTTCAAGGTCGCTCTGTAGGTTGTTTGTGCCGTTCACCATTATTTAACATTAGCTGTAGAGATATCTTCGAACGCTTGGTTCCGTGATTTTACGAATAAGGCTCGCTGCAGTTCTATAATAGACATCAAAGGGGCTCACACTGGTTTTAGATTTGGTTTTAACCTCTTCGTACGGCGCAAGGGATGATTATTTATATTGAGTACATTGACTCCGTGTAGAGGTTTTTTCAGTCATTCGCCTAATTCGTCTAAGCATTTCACTTTTTTTCTGCTACACGTGTCCACCTTGCCACAGTGGTCATTACGTATTATTATTATTATTATTGTATCCTTTAATTCCTACAGGAACATAGGGCTTCAGCCGTGCGTCTCCATTGCGTTCGGTTCTCTGCTAGAGTCTTCACCTGGCTCCAAGTCTGCCCACATGTTTTCATCTCCTCACATGACCTCCTCCAAGTCACCCTTGCACTGACGACCAACTCGCCGCTTCCCTTTCGGGTTCCACTCGAGCAATGGCTTATCTAGTGATGTCACTTGATGGTTTCCCAAGAGTATGGCCAATCCATCTCCATTTCTTCCTGCCTATTTGTTTCACAATCGGTTCCTGGTTGGTTCGCTCCCAAAGATCCTTGTTGCTGATCTCTCTGGCCATCTGATCTTGAGTATTGAGCGAAGACAACTGTTAATGAAGGTCTGTAGTTTGTTTGAGATGCTCTTTATGACGCGCAGTGCAAGTCTCTGATCCGTATAGTAGCACTGACTGACTTCACATTGGAGTTGAAGATCCGGATCTTATTTTTGATGCTGAGTGTTGTTGACCTCCACACAGACTTGAGAGTAATGAAAGCTTGTCTTGCTTTGATATCCTCGTCAGTTCCGCCTGTAGTTGAAACGATGCTTCCAAGATAGGTAAAGGAGGTTGTTTCTTTCAGGTTCCTTCCACTTATGCTGATTGTTGTCTGTTGTTGCTGTTGGTGGTGTTGCCCCGGAATTTTCATCACCTCTGTTTTCTCTATGTTCACCTGAAGTCCTATCTTTGATGCTTCTTCTGCTAACTTGTTGCTTTTCGTTTGCATGTCTTCCAGTTTGTGGGAAATCAGACATATATCATCGGCGAAGTCCAGATCCTCCAAGTTTTTTGTGTGAGTCCATTTTATGCCTGTTTCCTCATTTCCCACTGTTTGTCGCATTATCCAGTCTACTGCCATCAAGAAAATCATTGGCGATAGTAGGCAACCCTGTCTTACTCCTGTCTTCACTTCGAAGGATTCCGTGAGCTTCCCGTTGTGGATTACTTGGCATGCAGCGTTGTCATACAACTGTTGGTTGAGATGTATAATTGTCGGCGGCACCCCGTAGTAGCGAAGTAGTTGCCAAATCACCTCTCGATCGACGCTGTCGAAGGCCTTTTCAAAGTCGATGAAGTTGAGATAGAGAGGTGACTGCCATTCCAAACTTTGTTCAATGATGATCCGTAGTGTGGCGATCTGATCAATGCATGACTTGTTTCTCCTGAATCCAGCCTGTTCCGGTCGAAGTTTTTCATCCAGGGCATGTTTGATTCTCTCCAGGATGATGCGGCTTAGTATTTTGCTTGGGATGGACAGGAGCATAATTCCTCGCCAGTTCTTGCATTGACTTAGGTCTCCTTTCTTTGGTAGTTTGAATAAGTATCTTTTCTTCCAATCCTCGGGTACTTTGCCTTCTTTCCACACCTTCTCCAGTAGTGGCGTCATCAAGTCCGCTGTTGTCTCTGAGTCCGTTTTCAATGCTTCTGCTGGGATTCCATCTGCTCCTGCTGCTTTTCCAGCTTTTAGCATCTTGATTGCCTTCAGGACTTCTGATTTCGTCGGGGGTTTGGTGTTCACTGGTAGCTCTGTCTCCGTTGTTGGTATTGCTGGGCGCGTTGTAGGGGGTGGTCGGTTTAGTAGTCTTTTGAAGTGTTCAGCCCAGTGTTTCCTTTGCTCCATTTCTTTAATGAGTGACTTTCCGTTATCATCTTTTACCGGCTTAATTTGTGGCGAATTTTTGCCTGAGAGGTACCTAGTTGTTTGGTAGAGTGTTGCGAGGTCTCCTTTGCCTGCTGCTTGTTCTGCTTCATTGGCCATGGCTTCATAATACTTTCTTTTGTCTTCTCTGGCACTCTTCTTTACTCCTTTGTTCAGTGTATTTTAGCTTGCATTCAACTCCTGTTTCTGTTGCTCGTGGGTGCACTGGATAATCTTTTGTTTCACCATCCTTCTCTCTTCTATTAGCCTCCAAGTGTCCGTAGTGACCCACAGTTTGTCCTGTCTCTTCTTTCTGCCCAGAACTTCCATGCAGGTTTCGCTCCATACCGCTTTCAAGTTGTCCCAGTGTTTTTCGACGCTGACCTCTTCGCTAATGTTGATTTGTGTCTCAGCTTTGTCCTTTATGCTTGCAGTAAAGATGTCCTTTGTATCCTGGTCCTTTAGTTTTTGAGTGTTGAACTTGGCTTGTGGTCTATCTTCAGCTCCTGTTTCTCTGAAAGCTTTTAATTTGATTTAGATTGTTCCTTGTACGAGGTAGTGGTCTGAGCCAACGTCTGCTCCTCTTCTTGCTTTTGTGTCCAGTAGGCTGCGCCGCCACTTCCTCGAGATTGTGATGAAGTCAATTTGGTTTTTGGTTCGCCCATCTGGTGACACCCATGTAGCCTTGTGAATATCCTTGTGTTTGTATACGCTGCCACCAATCACTAGTTCATTGAAGGCGCAGAAGTCGGCGAAGAGTTGTCCGTTTTCATTCATTTCTCCGAGAGCTTCTCTACCCATGATGAGTTCCCTTCCTGTGTTGTCTGATCCCAGTTTGGCGTTCATGTCTCCCATTAGTATTTTGATGTCACCAGCTGGAGTATTGTCCGTTGTTGTCTGCAGTTGTCTGTAGAAATCTTTCGTTTCGAGGTCTGCGTTGTTGGTCGGTGCATAGCATTGTATAATTGACACTTTCCTTCCTTTGGAGTTGAATCTGGCGGTTATTATCCTGGGCGAGATCGCCTCCCATTGCATTAGGGCCTTCGTTGCCGTTGGTGACGTCATGATAGCCACGCCCTCGGTGTGCGAGTGGTTATCTTCTGGGTGACCGGAGTAGATCACTGACTCACCCGTTGACAATTTGGTGAGTCCACTCCCGTTCCATCTGCTTTCACATATTCCCAGTACTTGAAATCTGTATCTTTTCATTTCGTTTGCGATCTGGGCAGCTTTGCCAATCTCGTACGGTCATTACGTAACCTCCCTCCAATCTTAGTTGGATTCCACTAATTTCTGTCCACTGTGTTACATCACTCAATTTACTTAATTTTCCTCCAGTCTCTATCTGACTGTTTCTTGTGTTACTTAATTTCTTCAGGATTTCTTGCTTGTTACCTAAGACTCCACATTTTGGTAACATCTAGAACATTCCTCATGTTGCTAATATAATGTATCATGTGGGATTGTTCAGTTTGAGAATGATATCACTGAAAAGAGAAACTCTCTGTTGAATGTCACTTGTCTTTGTGATTGCATAATTAGTTTGAACTCCACTTCAAAGTCTAAGATTTGGACAGCCAAATGATATCACTATTCAATGGACAGATTCTCTTCTTATACTGTAAGCATGCACGAGGTTGCGTTGTCATTTTATCGCAGGCCGAGTCTATAGTCAGTTGACGTAATTGCATGCATTTGTGCTTTCGGGAAGTAATCAGTCTGTCACTGTTCTTGTTATTATATCTGCATTCCTATGCGATTACTTATTAATGACGTACATGAATGGAAGATTTTGAAATTCTAAATTAAAATATATATCTTAGGGATAACCGTTTTACACTTACTGATACTGTGTTATTAGACCTGTATAATATGCAGGTGTTTTAATCCTTCCATAAGGTGCCAGTTTATTTATATGTATATACGTGCATTTGTTTACTTCCCCTTTCATCACCTTTTAATTAGCTTGCAAATAATAGACGAGGTAACCCCCACCACTAAGTAGTAATACGAGGTCCAGTGTTGATAATGCCTGTTTCTTCCTCCTTGGTTATATGATTGAAGTTCAGCCATATATTGTTTCAAACCGGCATATGTTCGCACTTTAATAGTAGACATTTATCATCTACAGTAGGTCTTTCCGAGTTCAGCCTAACGATAAATATATTTGAGAACGGATTGAGCATTCATCCCATTGAAAATGATTGTTGCTTTTAGTGTGGGAAAGTCCTATGCATCCCTTAGTCTAATTCAATAACTGTAGAAGAAGAATACAGCTTTTAGTAGATTTCAGATGTGTGAAAACGTGATTGTCTTGGAGCCTAGTGAGTAAGAAGAACAGTCCAAATGTACTGTAGTAGTCTTCATTAATTGTGTGTTTTTGCTGGATCATAAATGTTCTCACTGAAAAAAGCCTAAAAATAATAAGCTTTCAGAATTATTGCAAAACCAAGGTACAAAACGGGGATTACTGGTCTATGTCCCATCCACTTGTGAGATTACTGGGAATATACTCTTCTTCATGCTAAACATTGATCCCCTTGGAATTATGGTTTGCGGACTGATGTCTCAAACTAAAAGATGTACTGAACTACGTCTATACATGCAATTAAATTAAAATTTATTACTCGTAGTTTTCTCAAAATGAGAGTAAATTTCATCGATAAAAACAAAACACGTAGTTCAGCGAAGAATCTCTTTTTGACGAATTCATTCACTTAGGTGTACAATCGCAGTTATATTCAGTTATTTTTGTATGTGTGTACATTGTGTCAGACAAGAATAAAAATTAGCTAAGGTTGTTGTTTACGTCATCAAAATATTTCAAAAAATGTGGTGAATATTCAAATCGTATCTAGGAGGGGGGTGAGGACTAGTATGAGGGTAGTGATGATCAGTTGTCAAAAATATTTGTTAATGTTAGTCAGTGCGTAAAAGAAGCTGAATAAGTGTATTTTAGTTGCGTAATAAGATGAATAATTTAATGAGTGAATTTTGATTAGGATGCACATAGAAATGAAGGAAAATATGGAATTGTGTAAGAATTGTAGAGAAATACAAGCGTTATAAGGAGTTGGAAAAGCAGGCACACAAACATCAAGTCAGTGGAAATCAACACGGTTGTTGCCATGATAGTGAAAGTGGTGGAATAGTTTCTTTTTGTAAGCATAGCTCTTGTTGCATAACTCTGATACATTGACAGCATTTCCTCAAATTTCATCAAACGGAATAAATATTGAAAGCCACTCCACAATGAGTCACGCTTTATTCCTGAGTTAATATGATACTGCTCTGTTATTTGGGTGAAATTAGATGGAGTGGACTCTCAAGACGACGACCCATTCAGTGAAAGTCAAGTATTTTATATCAGAATATCCCGTAGAGGTAGTGAGTAGATGTTGTCAATAACCAAATGTATTGCTAATCCGTTTTTACTACTCAAACTATTCGCATATTTTATGATAAACTAATCAAATCTATAGTGGATATTGTTAACTTAATCAAAATATTTTTGCTTTTGTAGTCTGATTTTGTCATGGCACATAGCTACGATGAGTACAGTAACAATGTACATTTAAATAATCCAATGCCTTCCATGTACTACCAAACTGCTGACAGCTCAGAACAACCAGACTATATTGTTTTGAATCATTTTAATCAAAATCAAAATCCCAATGAATATAATGGTTACAGTAAAATGCATACTGTTGCGAAATCCGACCGAACTGATCCTGTTCAGGAACACGTACCTACTATTAATTTTGCAGATACAACATTAGATACGGATGGTATTGGCACTGAGCAGATAATTGAAGAAGGCGTCGAAGTTCCTTTGGATGATACCGATGATTTAACCTATGATACTTCAGGTTCTGTGTTGCAGGAAAATCTCATCGTTTGTGATCCATCTCAAGATGTCAGTTCGGTTCCTGTGTGTACTCCAAGTTCTTCAGTTTCTCAGGATGTATTTTTGAGCAGTGTTGACACAATAGATTTAAAATCTCACTTACTTTCTGGTGTAAATGATACAATTACAAACAACTTCAATTCACATTTTAAAGAGTGATACCTATTCAACTTTGTATAGAATCAACAATTTTCCTTATTTCCCTAGAAACTGTTTGTAGGCAAGCGTGATAGACCCTTTCATATCTGTTTATACTTATGTTCTTATGTTACTCTATATATGCTCGGAAAAGATAAATACTACTTTCTTTGTATTCATTTCAATCATGTGATTTTTTTGTTACGTAATGAAATGGTGTGTCCTTTAATTTGTTCAGGCAGGTTAATAAATCACGAAATATCGGCGGTAAACACATTAGGTAAATTGCCTTTAGTATTGATGGCTTCCTAGAAGATGAGTGTGTTGATACGGTGGAGGTGTAGTAAGGATCCACTGTGTTATCATTTTGATGGGACGTGAAGTCTGACTGAGTTTGAGTAGACATCTGAACATGTTTCACAGTTTTGTCAGTCCTTAATTGTATCATCTAAGATTTCTAATTATAAGTCAGAATAGCGTAATAAATATTAAGTGTGGGGGAGGGGAGAGCGGTACAGTGATATTGGTTATTCGCATCTACTTGTCATTGGCTAAATAATTTGATACTTTTTGATGGGAATGTGTGAATATATATGCTTCTGAGCTCAGAAAAGTAGACTATAGCCCTTCACGCATTTGCATACAATAGGATGTGAAAAATTGACTGTCCTAAAATCTGTTTTAACAATTGATAATTAAAGCTGCATTTATCGAGTCAACTGTGAACAAATCTAAGAGGAATGACTCAAAATGTGTACCAGACATGTGGGAAGTTTTACTCTTAAGACAAGTGCAAAGACGAACATGAACTAGGCGCTCCGAGTTCTTGAATTGCAAAGTTATAGTTAGTATGGTTGTAAACAATAAATTGAGTTTGTTACGTCATCCTGCAAAGAATACGGTTCCACTGTGTGATTCATCCAATAAGTAATGTGGAATTACACACACTACTGCTATGCCCAATTTCCTACGCGTTGACTGCTTCACTTACTTGGGAAGTACCATCAGCCCCAACGGGTTGATCTCCGACGAAATCTCAGCACGAATACAGAGGGCCAGCTTCGCATATGCCAGTTTACGCCGTCTCTGGCGTAGACGTGATATCCGACTATCGACCAAAGGGGGTGTTTACTGCTCAACAGTCCGCTCCGTCCTCCTTTATGGCTGTGAGACCTGGCCATTGAGAGCAGAAGACGTGAAAAGATTAGCTGTCTTCGATCATAGGTGTCTGCGTTCTATCTCCCGCGTGAAGTGGTATAATAAGGTGAGGAATATTGAGGTTAGGCGTCGAGTGCTAGGTAAGGCGAGGAAATCAATAGACGAGACTGTGAAATTACATCGACTGAGATGGTTAGGACATGTGCTACGTATGCCTAGTCATCGCCTTCCTTGACGGGCAATGTTAGCTGATATAGGGCCAGGCTGGAAAAGAGCAAGCGGCGGTCAAACGAAAACATGGCACCAGTCAATGAAATCTACAACAGTTAGTCTAAGCCTCGTAGGAAGGTGTAGACTTCCTGGTTGGGGTCCTTGGGACGGTAAAAACCAATGGTTGGAAACAATTGGTGACATAGCTCAAAATCGTTCTCAATGGCGCAGATGCATCCACCCCTTGTGACTTATGATTTCCAATTAAACTTTTTTTCTTCGTCATTACTAATCCCTTGTCTCACACCTCTGTTTACTGTCTATATTATGCATTTCTCGTACTTTCTTCTCTTGCTTTGTGTGCTACATGGAGTGTGGCTACTTGGACTGCTGCACATCAGTGCAAAGTTCTATGTCGAAAGCAGACAGACAGACAATTCCTACGCTTATAATAACTCCGCTGTATACTTTTCAAGGGAAGATAAAATTTAGCTGTACATATATATATATATCCATTCTGAGATTTTTGTCACCTATCGTAATTGGGTTAGTTTACGTAGGCAGAGTTATTACTGCTGTTATCCACCTTATGTTTTATTCTTAATCTGTGTGTTGATTTCTAAGTCTGCTAAACCTTTAACTCAATAGTAGTAAGTGAGACACCGTTTCGCATGTTTAGTTAGGTAGGTCGTTGACTTTCAGACACATTGTTGTCAGTTCGGCAGAAATACTCACCCTAAAAGATTTTAAACTGTGTTTTGAAATTAGTGAAGAAAATGGTAGTAGGTCCACTGGTTCATAATTATAAGCACTTTATGCACACCTAGTGACGTTATAGTAAATGAAAAATACTTGCGGTTAGCTGACTTTGGGTTCAATCAACAAACTACTGTTATAATAAAAAGATGTAAAGAGCGAAGAAAATTTTCTTTTCAACGATTCATTCTCATAAGCTGTACAATCGTAATTATATTTAACAAAGAAATCATTAGACCAATCAGATACTACTAGTAATATTTGTCCTCAAAAAATGTACTACGTAATGTAAGGTGTAACCTAGACGGGATGACTAATTGGAAGTTAGCAAAGAGACAGAAGTTGGCATGACGTAATAAGTTTGAGATAATGACTAATCAGTAAGCTCGTAGATTGGACAGGAACGAGTGGAAAGACGATACAGTGTTTTTATATAAAATCTGTATGAAGACGTAATGTTATTGAAAGACAGTAATAGAGTGATCATAAAATATGGATGATGGGAATAATAATGATAATAGAACAATAGTAGTAGGAGTAATAATAATAGTAACTTACATAATAAAAAAGAAGCAAAATTATAGTAAGGAATTCACTCTTTCTGTCTGTTTTCAACATAGAACTTTGCACTGATGTGCAGCACTTCAAGTTGCCATACTTCATGTAGCACACAAAGCAAGAGAAGAAATGCAAAATAGAGACAGTAAACAGGGATATGAGACAAAAGGAATAGTAATAACGAAAAACAATGTAGTTTCATTGGGTATTATAGGTCACAAGGGGTGGATGCGTCTTTGCCACTGACTTTTCAAAAAAGGTAAGGCAATAGCAGTGGGTCTAAACGTAACGGTAGGGCCGCTTGCTGATTTAGGCACTGGAACAATCTTGATATTTTTCCATGAGTCAGGTATAATACTTTTAGAAGAAGATTCGTTGAAAATGTCGGTTAATGGGGTACATAAGATGTCAGCACACTTCTAAAGATAACAGCAGGACCAAGGGACTGAGTAGATTTCAGAGATTGAAGACACTTAGGGACATCATTCGTATTAAAACATGAGAAACAGTCATAACATCTGCAGGGATACATACACTCAATCAATAACAGCAGACTTTGCGTGGGCGGACACGACCCGCAGACCTTCAAAGAAATGGCCACAAAGAGATGACAGAATAACTTTCAGCGAGAAAACAACCAATCAGAAGACGTTGCTTCTCTGCTAATAATAATGTACATAAAAATATCTGTTGATTTCCTCAATAAATGATCTATTGACTGACTCTTGTCTTCCGTCGTTGTAGTAGTATTATCTCATGAATTAGAAGGCGTGTTGCTCAGTGTTAGCATTTTGTCACAAGAACTGAATGTTTTACAATTTAGATTCTTGTATTTACTTCTGAAACTTGGCTACACAACTTTAGTAACCATTGAAGTAACGTGAATCGATAAAGATAAGTGATGTAAACCATTTATATTTCAGTCGATCGGAAGACGTGGGTATTTATGGTTTTGTACTATAGATTAGTTGAAGCGCACAGGAAAATCCCCCAACTACGAGTGGTACTGACTAATTATAATGGAGTGACGTAAACACAGAATAACTTGTTTCTTTATGAATTCTTGGGAGATTTTTGGGGAACAATCTCAAACTAGGGTCAAATATCTATTCGGTCCTTCTTGGTTTTATTAGACTTCAAAACCAATGTCCATTCGTAACGCAATCTGCTTAATCCCTACCAAACTAAAATCTGATTTGTTCCAGGTTTGATCACATATCATGTCAGCTAGAGAACTAATGAAAACCAGGGAGTACTGCAAAACTGCTTCGTCCCAGTACAGGACTCTTCAGAATTTGGAATTCACTGGCCGTTGGATGGGTCCTAATGGATGAATGGCCTGCGAGCTGGCTTTGTTGTCTGAAGGCTCTGGATTCGAACTCTGGTGGATGTGTACTACTGAAGAGTCCCAAACCAGGATGAAACAAGTTTTCAGTACTCCCTGTTTATCAGTGGTTCTCTAACTGACATCCATCCGTAATCAAAATTGCAACAGATCAAATCCATACAAACTAAATCTTGAGAATTAGTCTGATGCTTGCTACTGACTGGCTACAGAACGAAGTTTCCTGGAGTTCTAATGAGGAGTCGTGACTGACATCAGTCCTTGATCAATCCTCATAAAAATCAAAATATCTCTTTAAAATTTTATTGTCAGCCCTTATTTTTTTTATTAATTATTGACATTACGAATTTCCGGAGTTCTCATGTGAAACTGTGACCATTGGGGTCTACTGAATCGAGTGTGAAGATAACACTGGAACCAAATCGTCAATATATACAAAGGCTGGGAATCATTTTCCATAGAGTTTCAGTCGAATTATTCTTCAGTACTTTCGCGACATGTCACTCTCCGGTTTCATTCATCATATAGTTGTAGGTGCCTATGATTGAAGTGGTTCTAATCAGAAGAAAACAGTTGTCCAATGTTCCTCCTGTGTAAATGAAAGTATGCCATGATGAACATCGAAACCTTCTTATAACTATTTGCAGTTACTGTCAGAACTCTATTTGTGATTGTTTAATTTCCAATCACTGGTTCAACTATGAGTTATAATTATTGCTGTAATGTTATCAATTGTCAAGCACCTATTGACTAATCATAACTGTAATATTTGATTTCTATATAATATGAACATCGTCTTTAAATAGGTAAGTCATAATTGATTGAAACAAATCAATAAGTTCAGACTTCTTTTACATGTGAATCAAATATTCAGAGCTGTATCGAATAAAAGTATTTTTTTAATCATAAAAGTGGTTTCAAGATTAACATAAGTCTGCATATTTCTTTGCATTTTCAGTAGATGGATAGATATAAGGCTAAAAAAGACTCTAAGCTTTTAGTTTAAAAAAAATATATACGACATTAATAGAAATAAAAATATGAATGCTCAGCTGAATTTATTCAGTTTTAATCCGAGATAAAAGTAAATATGAAGCAAGGGCGTAATTACGATGATGATGATTTTGGTCATACTGTTGTCAAGGTAACTGACAAATATTTGAAGTGTATTAGTTATCTTAAATGCAACTTTATTGTCACGACATAATTCAAGGGCAAGGCAACAGATCGTTTATTGAGAAAATCAACACATATTTATAGATTTTTATGTACATTCTCATTCGTTATT